TAGGCTCCGTCTGCATCCGGTTGATTTGGCGAATCGTAGACTACACGACTGCTATTCGCAGTCCTTCCCCTGCGTATGAATATCATCCGTTTTTACCTGGCATCTTTTCGAAGTAAACTGTGCTTCACCGATTACGAAGTACACGAACAGAATGTCCCTTTGCTGAAGACAAGGAGTCGCAGTTCCTTGAAACTATGACTATCTACCAGTCACTGAGGACAGACCACGACGCAGATACTTGTGTGGTAATTGATCATACACTACTTTTACGAGATCACGATGTATATCCTGCACCATATACAATAAACCAAATGACGTCAAAGATATGACAAAGAGAATTTTGCCAAATAAAGTCTGGCAGTTGACGACTAATAAGCTCGAAATGGTCATTTCAGTCGCCCTATCCATTTTCAGTAATGACATTCTGCATAAAAATTTCCATGGAGGACAGTTATCGAAAGCGTTGACTGATTTTATTTTTTGTCGGACAGCATTCCTTTTGACTAATACAAGATATCAAAGGAGTGAAGAAGTTGAGTTTTAAAGCCATCGAAATGGCCTTCAAATAGGAATGTGAGATTGGTTATGGAGATGCACAATCTCTTGTCCCAAGTAAGGTTTTTGTAAGGGAGGGTAATGTGTTTTCCTTCACTCTGAATGGGTAAAAAAGGGATTCTTTTCGACAGCCGGGGCAGGGGAGAACAGGAGATCAAAGCTAGACCGTTTACCTTTGTCCTACAGCCATATTTAGGTATCCTAATATGTCCAGGGATTAGAATCCAGTGTTGGAAATAGGTGGGAGACGTTCTGCAAATAAACTTAGGAAAGCATTAAGGGATCAATATTTTACGTTTTTTATGTTATGCCATTTTGTTTAATATTTTTATAAGAAAGTCCAGTCATAACGAAAAAGACATGACGTTTTAACTCATCATTTTACCTAAGCACGATTGGTCACTCTTAAGAGCGGGCAGGTGAACGCCCTGCGTGTGCCATGGTGCGCTGGCGGGCTGTGATTAGCTGGGCTGCCTTTATAAGTCGTCCACTCCGAAGCAAGAACTAAGCCTTATAGGAATAAAGCAGTCCTTTCGATATGTTTGATGAGGTCAGCAAAACACGAATAACGGGATGAAATATACGACGCAGCCGACATTTCATCGAGAATATATCGTCAGGAGTGATCCCAGATAGCATTGTAATACCTACCTTTTCCTTCCTGTCTACCTGTTGTATTGGCACACTGCAATTTCACCTGGATCTCCGTTAGTCATCGCAGAATGCCCAATCCAGTAAAATGTTATCAGAGGTACATCTTCCTCAACAAGTAACTTGATCATAACGTCAAAATCAGAATTGAGGTCTGCGAAGTGGGACCGTAAATCGATGACATCTGAATCCTCGCGTTGGATTTCTCGGAAGTCTTCGCTGCCACCACTGTAATATCCAAGCCAACCGATGCATACCCCTTGTTCTTAAACGCACACTTTGAAGTGGCGACTGCCTGATTGTAGTTACGGGGTTCTTCAATTAATTCCGGATCTGAAGAGGTTTTCATCACTACCTATGCGGAGACCCCGTATACGGCCCACTAGGAGAAGCGGCCATTATACGGACTGTCAGTACCTGTCTCTCTTTAGGGGGGTTCGATGTCTATCGGGCTGGCTAAGCTACATTGGTGGCAACGAATACGCCCGATCCACCCGACTCAAGGATCTAGATACCATCGACTACCAAACCCCTCTAAAGTCCTTCAACCTATTCGACGACACAGGATTTTGCCGAATGGGTTTTTTTACTCACCTTTTTGGAAGAAGATTTTCAGGCGAAGTGGATCTGAACCATTGATCAAGTAGATTCCTCAATCTTCCCCGCGTTGTCGGATTATCTAATGACATATCCCACTGCACCCGTTGTCGCCACCGTCAGCTTCCATTTTGAGCGTGTTGTAGCCGTCAACGGCCTTTGCAAGAACACGCGCGGCAATTTTATCTGCCTGCTGAAAAACCCGCCGAAAATTCTCATCGGCACCTGTTTGATACACTTGTGCGTGCAACGTTTTTAAAGCTTGACAACGATATTGACAACCATTTTATTCGCAAAGTATGTACACTCCGGCTCCAGTCAAGCGATATGATCTCGTCGACACTCTTGCTACTTGGAAGTTATCTCGTATATCATCAGTAGCGCCACTTCGGCGTGCAGTCAACCCCCAAAGGGGACCGGAATCAGAACAGACTGTCAAGTAATGTCAAAACATTTTATGTTAATATTTTTTTGCCGATGGTCAGCCCTAACGTTGCGTTGGACCTACTGTTAAGCATTCACTTTTCTCAGAAGTACAGGTGCCACATTAACGTTAATGGTAGATCAGTTGGTTTTTCTGAAACAATGCTATCAGAACTATAACTGAGGATTTTGACGAAGTGCCAGTGGATGAGGCCTTCGTGGCTGCCGTCTGATTATTTATCGCCAGCATCGATAAGATACTTATTACGTACATCGATGCCTCCGTGGCCGATAAAACAGCTCTGGGATCTTTGTTCTTGGACTTCCATGGTATCTTTGTGTAGGACGGAAATAGCACTGCCCAACAGCGTCGGTTATACCAGACGTACTATCAGTGTATTAGCCCGACACCAGCTGCTAACATCTATCTCTTTGGACTGAGCCCACAAGCTTCCGCGGACGGACCACCCTGCCCGAACAATTTCTAGACCACGGGGTTGTGTTTTGTAACCCAAGCTTTATTTGATGCGCTGTATTCGAGTTCAGTGCTCGGCAATTCCAGCGCAACCCATCTGACCCTATCTGCCTAGATAGTAAATTTGATTATCCATCCTACCCCGTTTACCGTACATGTTGACTTTGCTGGTAAAAGTACCCAGGCTTGAATGTGTCTCTCGGGGCTACTGCTAGCAGCAGCGATAATTCTTACGCATATCCCATAGTTTTTGATATCGCAATCTTAATCATTCATCGAGCTGAAACTTTGGCGCGGTAATTTACCCTTCCTTCCTTCTAGGTGGGGTTGTGTAATGGTCAAGTGTTGCCCCCATTAAAACCAAATTATATATACTCTTAACTTTACTAGAATAAAACGAGCAATTATTTTCTTTTTTACAGATTTTGGGCCGCGGGAGACGTCCGTTCAGTGGACAATTTCGTTATCATGGCTACATCTCCCTCAACAAGTAGCCTGAGCATGACTTCCAAACCAGACTCGAGCACTGCGGAGGGGGTCATAAGTCGATGACATCTTAATCGTCGCGTTGGATGTCTCGGGGGTCTCCGCTGCCACCAGTGTAGCAACCAATCCAACCGATGTATTCCTATCGTTCTCTACCACTTATTCGGAAATGGTGACTGCCTGATTCTAGTTGCGGTGTTCTTTAATGAATTCCTCGTCTGAAGAGTCTTTTATCACCGTTCACGCGAAGGCCCCGTATACGGCTCATGTTATAGCCCAGTTTATTTCGAACCAGACTAACAGGCAGAAGAAGCCAAGAGAGCGGTTCTGATAGCAGGCCTTTATGCAGGACGGTGCAGAGAAAATGGAATGGAATTAGCGTGTCCAACACAGCCTATTATAAGGCTTTGGTCCTTCTAGACTAATCCTGACCAACTGCATGCGAGGGGGATTCTGGCGTGCATGCCGATTCGTGGTCCCTCACGTTTCGAGACGTTTCTAGAACATCTGCAATGCACGTGTGCGCGGGCGTCACGTGTGCTCGGGGCGCGTGCGGCCGGCCTGCGGCAATGAACCAACTGGCGTGTTTTTCTCGTCTCCATAACAGCCCACTTGGAGAAGTGGCCATTATACGGGCTTTGTCAGTGACTGCGTCTGTTATGGGGGTTCGACCTTTATCGGGCTGGCTAAGCTACATTGGTGGCAACGAATACACCCGATACACCCAACTCTAGGATCGAGATACCATCAAATGCCAACCCCCTCCAAAGTCCTTTAACCTAGTTGATGGCACACAGGATTTTGCCGGATGGGTCTGTCTACTTTTCCTTGGAGAACATTTCTGAGGCGGAGTTTAGTTGAACTCTAGACTACTCAACCTCCCTCGCATTGCCATATTATCTCCACCCATCATGGTCATCTTCGGCGTCCTTTTCAACCTTCAACAGCGTTTGCAGGAAAAATCGCGGCAAAGTTGGGAGGAAAAGCTTGCCGAACACTCACAGCGCCAACCTGAGAAGAAATTTGCTTTACCAAGATAGTCGATTTGCCCTTCGCCGACCGACCTGGCAGATGCACTCTTGCGCGCCACAGTTTTTTTAAGTCGAAGAAGCGAGTCCATCCTCAAGATACTTGGCAGTTCAATCAACATCAAACAAAGGCCGGCATCAGCACGGGCTATTAGGTAATCTCCTTGGGACTTTTTGTTCCAGCTCCTCTCATAATATTCAAACATTTTATGTTAACATTTTTTGCCGATGATCAGTCTCTTAATACGCAAGCGCGATTGTCCTCGTCACTGGTCCCACCTACACTAAGATTGGTTAACAGTCGCGCGTTGCCCTTTAAAGCCAAATGTCATATCCTCTTTATTGTACTCAAACGAAATTAACAAGGAACTTCTTCCTTTTTTATAGATCTCGGACTGCTGGGGACGAGTATTCAAACGGACAATTTCATCTTTTAAAATCCTGGCCGGGGAGTTAATTGTGTTTGCCTCATCGATGCATGTTGAACAGCTATTTTCCATCTATTGTTTAATACAAATTTTATTCCGAATACGACCGACTTTTTGGTACTTTATTTCGAAGGCCTGCTCAGATAGATTGAAGTTATCTGTTTTGTATGACGAAATTTTTACAGACCATTGCGGAAGGAACGCTAGTCTACAGCTACACCAGCCGAGGTAGCGGCACAAGGTTTGCGATTCTGTCCAGTATCTAGTGCATTGCGAAGTGCCGGTATATAGTCAGTTAACTGCATTGTTCGTGGGCTACTGGCCATTCTTATTTTGGTTCAATCAGAAAGTCAGTTCATGCAGAATATCCCCATAGATACCCTCTCAGATGTGTCGGACAGCGACTCTGAGGCGGAAAAGAGCACGTCATCGCCGCCTCCTCCTCCCAATGCGCTGCCTCAGTCCCCATCGGATGCCACCGCTCAAGGTTTGCGCGAGCTGCGCACTTTACCTTTTGTTCCCCGTGTAGGTATCTCCCCGTCGTCTCCCCCTCCATCATGTCCGCGAGGCAGTCGACACAGGCGGAAACCTAAAAGGTAGATTTTCAGTACTCATTCTGACTGCCAGAAAGGTTTAAGGGTGATGCCTCACTTTGCGCCGATCCTGAAATGACAAAATGGTGGAAGAGGCGGTATGATCTATTTGAACGGTTCGATGATGGTATCGAACTAGACAGGGGTACGTCTTTTTTGCTACATGTGTCCGTTTTCTCCCCGTCATTATCCTGGCTGGGTTTACCAGTGCGGAAATAGGGTTCCGAAAATCCGGTAGGCAACTTACGCGCGAGTACATCAGACTAATATATATGTGAACGGAAATATCGCCTCGCGATCGGTTAGCGAAGCCTTCCGATGTCGATATCTCTGGGAGGGATGGGATGCTCGCCAGCTTTCATGGTGCGCCGCCAGACATGCGAAACTACACCGATTCCTTCGCTACATTAGCCAACCCACTTATATTCGCAGGGAGAGGGGTTACTTGTTTGCTTTGAGGGTGTCAATCAAAGTTCTGGGATCATCTTCTTGTCTGAACGTAACAATCTAGAATGACGGATGGGCACTCACCAATCGGTTTCGGAACTCACTTGCTTGGTTGCGCCTTTGGAATCATTCTCCAGTATATTTATAGGCAGAAAGACGTTACTGGGAAAAGGTAGGAGAGACTGGACTATGACCAATTTTGGTTTATTAACCGTATTAGAAGGGGTTTGACAGACTTACATAATTCATTTGATCAAATTGTGAAATACTTGGTGGCCTCGGTGGGGTTCGAACTCACACCAGCAAGGGAGAGGCTTTAGTACAGCCAGCGCTCTGGCCAACTGAGATACCGAATTCCTACCGGGAGCCGTGAATTTAATCACACTTGGGTCCATACACTGCATAGGCTGGGCGGGTAAATCGGCCCCCTGAAATCCATGCTAGCGTGGTTGTCGCTCACGTTCTTTGGGTGGGTGGGGGTCCGCATTTTGTTGCAGACCTCAAGGCAAAACCGAACGATTATATCCTGTAACGCGATTGGTGGGCATCCCTCTACTACTACTACCGTGCGAGTTCTGGCCAACAACAATTTCTCTCAACCGTTTGATATCCGATCTGGAGTTTGATAAGGCCGCGTCCTATCGCCCATTCTGTTTAGCTACGCCACTGACGGGATTTGCGGGGAAGTCCAACGTGAGGAGGATGGTGTTGAGCTTGCATCCGGACGTCAGCCGATTGATCTCGACTACGCCGATGATATCGCCCTGCTAGCTTTGGTGATCTACAGTCTGTAGTGTTAATGGATGAATGGGATCGCTATGCCAGTTGGCTTGTCCATAAATACGGGGCAAACTAGATTATTCTCGAGCTACATCCCAAACCAGAAGGAGGCAATCCCGGAGGCCTGTTTACCTCGCGAATCGATGCTGATCGGTAGGTTTTCTCAATCCTCAGAAAGTGCCTATGGATCCTACGCGACATCTACATCGCTGCGAAGATCCGTTACGTCATTGAGCTCGGCTGGATCAAGTACAATTATCCATCTACCGTTGTTAATATACGCGATCGCCACCAGTGGGCCAACGAGCTTGTGACTCAGTAGATTAGAGCGTTAGACTTCTAGGTCGCGGGTTCAAGCTAGGTTCAGGTGGTGCACCACCTGGCGTTAGCTATGGCCTGGCAGTTGACGGCCAACAAGCTCGCAATGTTTGTCGGTTATGTTTTTCTGCACAGAAACTCACCATATAGAGCAGTTATAAAAGTACTGTAGACTAGTATATTGTTTTTTATTTATTAAACAACATTCCTCTCACCGGCTACTTTTGTACAAGTCATTCGGCTACGTCAAATTAGTTTTCGATTGCGTTCGCTGTAAATCAATGATTTACGTCGTCTGCATCATCCATATTTCTTGTGCGAAATGCGAAGGGGCGAGAGCGGCAGTTTTAATTTTTCTTCATTTCTTGAATGGCGGTTTGATAACTTTAGTGGTCTGTTGGTTTCATCCTTGCTTGCTGTCGCAACTGTTTTTTTTTCTTTGCCTTGTCTAGAATCCTGGTATAGTGTTACGCCTGAGGCTATCGCCCGCCATCAAGCTAAGACCTGCGCCTGTAACCTCATAATCGATGGTTTTGCGGGGGTCGGTGGCAACTCGATTCAATTTGCACAAACCTGTGCTTTCGGTCAGTTGCAACTCAAACGTACATTTCCTCGGTTGGCTTTTCTTTCTCCTTGATTGTCCTAGCACCTTGTTCGTATGTACAGGAGCGTCCTTTGGTATATGTTACTTTAATTGACAACTAAGTTTGCTAGCATCAACCTCGATCGCTCTTATTCTAAATTTTCGTCTGTCTCGTTTGTGATCATTTGTTTTCTCGTAGCATATCCCTTTTAATCTGCTTTCACGTATTCTTTTTTCTTCGTCAACTACTACTGTTTGAGCTCAACTATGTTATAGCGCAATATAACCCCTAAATTTGTATCATATAGCTGTGGCTTAAACTAAGGCCCTTTAGGGTTGAAACTCCAATGAAAGTACCCGCCACATGTGGCGCAAACGTGCGTTCACTAGTTGAGCAGAATGCGTACTAAGTCACGCAATTGAACCAAGTTATGGTTTGTGGTCCGCTGTTTCGTGTTTCAAGCACGCATTTGTAGGCGCCTTTAAAATTGTTCAGCTTAGAGACTTGATTTAAAATTATTATTTTTGGCTCCAACGGATAGGACTACTCGATGCCCCTCCCCATCTCTTCAGAACTTCCCCTCAACTTTTCGTTTTCTTTGGTCATTTCAGTCATCAGCATTGACAACTCTATGGAGCGCCTCGGCCTTCTTCAGAAGAATGCCGCAGTTTACGGTGCAAAGTCTAAAATTGATGCCATCTGCGGAGACCTGGCGTGTGTTCTTTCGGCTCTCCGAACCAGACCCCTCACGCCTCGCTCTCCTTCGACCAGTGCACCCGTAGAAAAGCCCGCAGCTAAAGAAGTCTCAGCTCAGGTCCC